TTACTAGATTACTACACCTCTTAAATTCTATTTAATTAAATAGTAATAGAAGTTTTTTATTAAGTAAAATTTATATATTTTATTTTTTAGTATATTTCAGTTTTTTTTTTCATATTTAACATTTATATATAGATTTTATAATAATTAATAGTAATATATTTACTTATAACTAGAGTTTTTTAATATATAATAATTTAGTAAAGTAAATAAGTTGTTAATTTTCTAAATAATAAATTATAAGTTCAAAACCTACTAATAACAAAAATTTAAATAATTATTTATATAATATATAGATGATATTATAGCAATAGCATTTAGTTAATTAGTTAAAATAAGATATCTATAATTATAATTATATTAGTATAATTAACAAGTTATAAAGCATTTATGTAATCTTGATTATACAAAAAGATGCAAACTTGTACTAGGTAATGCAAACTTAAAATAAGTTTTTGTGGTTATATAAATCTATAAAACTAAAAAAAAACTAGAGCCTACTTGGAAAGACTCAAGTAAAGAGATAACACAGATTTTATATAATATCACTATAAAAAATGAATACTAATATGAAAAAATTAGATAAGCAAAAACCTCTAAATAAGAAATATTACCAACTAGGCTATTAAGTCAAACTAGAAAAAAAATATTAGACTAAACTTGATATACCAGAAACAGGTTACAGTTTCTCTGAGCTATCTGAATTGAAAGTCTAAAAACAAAGCAAAAGTATATTAAAAGTATTAAGAATATGCTATAAAGTAGATACTAAGATATAAGTGAACTTTATAAGAGCAAGCTTTTATTAATAATTTGCAGAATAAGTAATTAGTTAACAAGAAAAGTTTTTTAAGTATTACTGATAAGTGTTATATTTTAAAATATATAATAATCTAAAAACTAGTTCAAAAAGAAAAGATACAATACAAGAATAGTGATCCTAATGTAGTAGTTAGATTGTTATCCTCCAAGTAACAAGTCTAATATTCAAATTAAGGGCCTGCAAATTGCCTATTTTTAAGGCTCAGCTCAGCCTGCAGTTAGGATTAAAAATTTTTTTTAGACCTAGCTTGGCCCACATTTAGAGTTACTATTTTTTTGCTAGCCTGTATATGTTAAATTTTTTCTTTAGCCCAACCCAGCTTAGCCTGGTCTGCAAAAATCTTTTATAAAATTTTACAAATTTTTAGACTTGCACTGGCTCGCAATTATAAAGTTTTGCAAATTTTTTGGTCTGGCTTAGCCCACAATTATAAAATTTTGCTTTGGACCAGGCCAGGCCAGGCTGCAGAACTCAATACAGGTCTCTAATTCAAATCCTACTTATAATGAAATTTGAAAATTATATTTGCATTATGGTAACTGTCTTCTGTCAATTGGTTGACCTCATGTGACTGTAATCTAAGTATACCAAGTTAGGTCCTATTGATATTAGAAGCTTGGAGCATCTATGCAAAGTATAATATTACATATACATAGAGGAATATATAACTAATATTACATAAGACTTCAGTGTAAACCCATGATAAGACCATTAGATGTAAAAGACTAAAGAACTAAGATGACAGAAACCTACTTGGAAATTCCTAAGTAAAGAAGTAGCATGAACTTTCGATGGTACCATTGGACCAGTTGAAGCCCATGAAACACCTTCATAGAAACTGAAGGTTAAATCCAGACATTAAATATATATAGAAGAGCATATAACTAACCAGATCACTAGATTCATTAGAAGAAAAGAATACAGAAGTATATCATACTGGGCCATCTAAATTGGTAGTCTGGAATGAGACTGATGGTTCTGAGTTGTGGTTAGTAGAAGATGATGGAAAAGATGTCAGGAAGATAGGTACTGGAGTTCTAATAAACAAAGTGTTCTATAATTTGAGTAGTGTATGAATAGTCTAAACAGCTATTATTAGAGTTTTGTATAAAGTAAGTAGTCAGTAATCTAAAGGTAAAGCTTTATATATTAGTTTCTAAAAAATGTTTTTTTTATTGTTCTAAATATTTTCAAGTTTCATCTATTTATATGTATTTTCTAATTGAGTTTTTTGGCTTAGTATGCTATTCTGTATTTTAATAGATGTTTCATTTTGAAGAAGCTTAGTTATAGTTTTAACTAAGTAGTTGCTTGCTATTATAGATTTTATTTTAATATTATCTAAAGTTCAGAACCAAATATTGTTTTTTTGTAATTTGTTCTTTTGCTCTTTTTTATACTATTAAGTAAGATTTTTATCTTTTTGGCTACTTTTTTAGCTTTATATTATTTTGACTTAAAGCAGCTTTAAATGTTATTTCTTTTTTGTTTTGAAAATTAGTAGTGATTAGTTCTTTTTTATATTTGACCAAAAGCTGTTTTCAGTTAGTAGTCTTGTTTAAATTAATAATAGTTTTGCTTCTAGTAGATTTTTTAAAATAGAAGCTTTTAGGCATTTTAGCTTTTTATTAGCTTAAAATATTAAGTAGCATAGAAGTATATTAGATTTGTTTTTGATTTATTTAGTAAAAATTGAGCCTACTTTATTAAGTTGTTTTTTGCTTTAAGATAGTAGATAAGCCAAATACCAAATCTTTAATATAAGTAAAGTTTTTGTAACTAGAATTTTTTCTTTAAAGAAAAGGTTTTTTGTAGAAAAATAATCATTTTTTTTCTTAATTTTGTTTGTTATATTATGTTATAGGTCTTTTGCTAGCTTTTTTATAATATTAGTTTCATAGTTTAGAATAATAATTGTGCTGTCTTATTCTTTAGTTTAAAAGTTTTGCATTCTTTAAAATTGTATTCTTCAAGCATTTTTTGTTAAAGGTATTAGTACTAATTTATTTTTATTAATTTTTATATTAGATGCCTTTTTATACTTTTGAACTAGAAGCATAAAGTTATTTTAATCTGAAGCAATACTAAAGTCTAGTGTTAGATTATCTGTATAGACTGCTATCTTGAAAACTTTCATTAATTTGAATTTCAAATAGGCTTTTGTTAAGAGCTTGAAGTAAGGAGTTGAAAACTAAAATATATAAAAGAAGAAAAAAAGTCTTTTTGTCTAACTTCTTGTTCTACTTTAAAAGGTTTTAAAATTTTGCTAGCATCTCTAATATGAGCTTGTTGTAAAGTAAATAATGTATAAATTACTTGTCTAAATTTATTGTCAAAGTTTATTTCTTTTAAAACTAGCTGTAGATAGAAATAATTAACTCTTTCAAAGGCTTTTTGTTAATCAAAAAGTAATAGTTAGTGTTGTTTGAATTAGTCTACTTGGTTTCTCATAAATGTTAAGATGTTGAGAGCTGTATCAGTTATAGATCTGCTTGCAATAAATGCTTATTGCTTTGGTTCAATTAGTTGGTTGCATATTGGATTAAGATGATTTGCTAGAATTTTCATGAAAATTTTAGCATCATTATTAACTAAAAAGATAGGCTAATATCTTTTAAGTTATCTGACTTTTTGTAAATAAGAGTGATTATACTTTTGTTCTACAAGTGTGACATGCAACTTGTGTCTATAACACAGTTAAAAAGTGTTAATAGAAATGGAAGTATTTCTTTTTTTGCATTTTTGTAAAATTTGTATATTAATCTATTTGGCTTAGAAGTTTTGTTGTTAGGCAAAGAGTTAATTATTATGCTAATTTCTTCTTTACTAATATGTTTTGTTAACTGATAGTTTTGTGTCTGGTTAACTATAAAAAGATCTTTTGTTAGTTCTTTAGTAGCTTTAATATTAAAATTTTTTGTTTTATATATTTTTTAATATTTGTCTTTAATGTTAGCTAGTATATTGATAGGTTCTGTAAAGCTGTATTATTAGGCATTTCTATCTTTGTTATACAGAAGGTTGCATGTTTTGCTTTATAGAGAAAGTAGAAATATCTTGTAGACTTTTTTTTTTTTTTATTTATTTAGCATTTGACTGAATCTGCTATTTCTTAGAAAAAGATGTAACTTCTTTTTGAATTAGTATTTTGAATGTTTAGCAACAAGTTGAAGATCTTCTAAATTAGAATTTTTAGCAATTTGGTTGTTTAATTTGTATAGTTTTTTATATAGTAATTGTATTTTTCTTTTTGATGCTATGTTTGGTTTTTTAAGCTCTAAAAATTGATTGTAATATATATTTTAGAGATCTTAGTTTTGCACTTCTTTTATCTTTTGTAGTTCTTTTATAATTTCTGCTCTAAGTTTTAAGTTATGCCAATGTTCTTTTTTGAATTTTTAAAGTGATATATAATACAAATTATTTTTGACTAAAATTGTGCTTTCTACTAAAAGATGGTCTGAGTTGTCTAGTTTAGTAGTTTCAAAGTTGAGTTAAGCAGAGTCAACTTTGACAAATATGTAGTCTAATTGAGTTGTCATTAACTAATTGTTTTGAGTATTTTGATAAAAATTTAAGAAAAGATAGCTTCTTAAAAAATTTGCTATATTTATATAATCTTTTATGAGCTCTTTTAGTAGTATTTTAGAAATATTATTTTGCAGAGGTGCTTGGCTGATGCAGTTAATCTAAGAGTTCAGATTAATGTTAAAATCTCTTGCTATAATAGTAATAGCACTGTTGTTATTAAATAGTTAAAAAATTAGCATCTATTATCCTAACTGTAAGATGCATAAATATTTGTAAGTAGATAAAGCCTATTTTTAAAAGTTAGTTTTGCTAATATTACTTTGTTATTGTATAAGATTTTGGAGTTTTTTAGTTTAATATTTGGTTTTTCAATTAGAATAGCTGTTTTGAAAGACTAAATTGAATCATAATTCTATTGTTGTACTAGAAATCTTTTTGTTAAAGAATCATTTAAATTTGTCTCTTGGATAAATATTATATCTAAATTATAAGATTTTAAAAGTGTTAGAGTTTTTTGAACTTTAATTCTATTGTTAAGACCTTTGACATTTAGTGTAGCAATTTTAATTATAAGATAAGGAAAGGTATATTGGCCATACAGCAGTTTGTTCTAAATGTGAGTAGTTAACTAGTAAAAAGAAAAGTCTGTTTAAGCATTTTCTGTTTTACTTTTGTTAATTTTGTTACTTGTTGTAAAGGCTTTCTTTTTGTTTCTTTTTTGGTTGTTCTTTTTAAAAATGACCAAAATAAATTCTTTTTTTTTAGTTTTGTTTTCTTTATTGCAATTTAATAATTCTATCATTATGTCTTAGTCATAGTTTGTAGCAAGTGTTTTATTGTTTATGTTTTTGTAATTAACATCTATTAAGAGTGAACCATGTTTTGAAATAAGAATACTAGTTGTGTTTTTCTTAAAGGTAGAGTTTTGATTATCTATAGCATTGATTAAGTTACTTTTTTTTAGATTATTAAGATTTGATGTATTAATACTTGGCTTATTTTGTTCTATAGCCATATCTAAAATGTATAGATTATCTAGGCTATAGAATATATTTTCTGTTTGTATTTTTTGATTAAGTTTGTTTGTTCCTATTAAGAATTTCTTTTATTTGTTTTGTAACTGTCTTAGTTTCATTAAGGCTCTAAGTTTTGTATAATCTTTTTTAATATGTTCTGTTTTTTTATAGTAATAATATATTTTTGGAGCCTTTTTCCAGTCTGTAGTAGCTTTGTGGTCTCCAACATGTATATGTCTAGGTAATCTTATTGTTAGGTTTAGATCATTTGATATTTTAAAAGTTATGATCTATTGGTCAAAGCATATTAGGATTCTTTTGTATAGAAGTAGTTTTATAGAGGCAATAATATCAATATTTTAAAAAGCTTTCTTAATCTGTTTGTTAATAGTTTCTTTATTGCTCATTGATGTGTTCTTCAATTTAACTAAAAGGAATATATGCTTGAGATTAACTAAAACATATCTAAAAAATGTTTGTTTAAACATTGTGATCCCTTCTAAAGTGTATAATTGTTGTTTGTTTTTATCTAAAAAGACTAATTCTAAAAAGCCTGTCTGCCTCTAATAATGTAAGTTTTCATTGCTAGCATATCTTCTTTTAGCTTGATATATAGAGTTGAGATAATATTATTAGTAAATATATTAGTAAGCTCAGAAATGTCATTTTTAAAATAGATTTTGTTTCTGAATACTGTGTTAAAAAAGGTTGCTTTGCCTTTTTTTAGTTTTGAGAATAAATCTGATTATTGCTTGGGTTTTTGTTAGCTGATTTGTTATTTACAACATCTGATGTTGTCTTGTATATCAATTTTGTTATATATAATATGCACATATTTTGTATTTGTTTGTTTGTTGTTTTTTGTATTTATCATTACATAAATCTTGCTGTTTTTTATCTTGTTATTTTCACTTATAAAAGAAGTAACATTTTGTTTGCCTTTATCATCTAGTCTTTCTTTTTGTTCTATATTACTGGCTTAGCTTTTATTATTTTGATTATTGCTTTTATTTGGTTTACTATTTGGTAAAAATATGCTTACTGCTTTTGTTTCTAAAATAAGAGTTTTTTTTTGCTCTGATAACAAGTTAAAGTTCTTTTTTTTAGTTCTAGTATCAAGAAGCTTTGGTCTTTTAAGTATCAAGCTGCTTATATTTGATAAAAATAAGTTTTTTTTTTTAAATATAAAGGCTTTAGCTTTATCAGAGAAGTTTAAAAAAAAGATTTATTTAGTTTTTGTAAAATTTTGCTATTTTTGTATAGTTATCAAAAATGTACTAGAAAGAGTTTTTTTTTTTGCTATTTCCAATTTAGATTTTTTTTTTAATATAATTGACCAATAGGATTTATCAATTTTGAATTATATAATACTAATTGTATATAATATATTAATATTATATAATTGATTCTTTATCAGATATGCAATATATAAAAAAATTAATTTACAATATCAGATTATTTTGTTATGATTATAATCTAACATCATACTAATGAAATAATCTGATATTGTAAAATAATTTTTTATATGTTGCATACTTGATAAAAAAACAGTCATATAACATTAATAGTCTTTTCTGTTTAATATGTAGTAATATAATATAATTATTTATAAGATTTATTATAAAAATATATACATAAGAATAGTGATTCTAATGTAGTGATTGGGTTGTTATTTTTCAAATAACAGATCTAAGGTTCAAATCCTATTTATAACAAAATTTGAAAATTATATTTGCATTATAGTAACTGTTTTCTGTTGATTGGTTGGCCTTATGCAGTTGTAACTCAAATATATCAAGTTAGATCCTATTGATATTAAAAGCTAAAGGCATCTATATAAAGTATAACATTACATATATATAGAGAAATGTATAATCAGTATTGCATAAGACTTTGATGCAAACCTATAATAAGACCAGCAGATATAGATGACTAAGGAACCAAGATGATAAAAACCTATTTAGAAATTTCTGAATAAAGAAGTAGCATAAATTTTTGCTAATACTATCAGACTGATTAATGCCTATAAAACACTTTATAAAAAATAAATATTAAACTGAACATCAAATATGTATAGAAGAGCATATAACCAAACAGACCACTAAACTTGTCAGAGAAAAAGGATACAGAAGTATATTATATCAGACTATCTGGATTGATAGTCTAGCTAAAGACTGCCAGTTCTAAGTTGCAACTAGTAAAAGATGATAAAGAAGATGCTAAGATAAGTACTGAAGTTCTAGTGAATTTTACAAAAATAGAAATAATGTAATGTAGTAGTTAAACAAATAACTCTTATAACTGCAAGTGTTAAGTAACTATAATATATTATATAAAACTAGGTCAGTATATATAAAACATAAAAACTCTAATAAGTTTTCTGTTAAGAATAAAATAGTTCTAAGAGTACTGATCAGCATCAAGAACTTAAATAGATATAGTCTTGAAGATATTCTTATAATACAAAAAAGATTGCATATGCAAAAAGTTTAAATAAACAAGACTTCTAGTTGGCTTGCAGCTATAGTATCTAGTATAGAACTTATATAGCAATATATAAGTGGAATACTAAAATTAGATATCAAAAGTATATGTATAACTAGTTGTAACCTCCAATGTAAAAGAGCTTCTAGATGCAACATGTGTTCTATATACTTGAATAAAAATGTTATATTCTGAAGATAAGAACTTTAACATTAAAAATATATATATATATATATATATATATTGTAAAAATATAGAGTAAATTTACTAAATACTATAGATTTAAAAATATAGTCAACATCAAACAGTCTGTTCTTATATGCTGTTCTAAAGCTTGTTAAGCATTTAGTTATTCAGAATTAGATTTAAAAGGTTTGACTATATTAATAAATATATTTAACTAATTTATAAATAAAATCAAAACTAGTTTTTAGTTTTAATACATTTTTAGTTGTTTTTAAAATCTTTAGACTGTTTTGAAGATTTTTTTAAATTAGCAAACTTACTCTTACAAGCATTATAATGTGAATACTTATTTGTCAATTTAGAAACATTCAAGCATTTATAGTAAATACAAATGTCTAGATAGATTCTAGCAGAATAGTATAGCTTTTTAATTTCTGTTGTGCAAATCAATAAATTATTAACAAAAACTTTTAAAAAAAGTTCATAAATAGAATTCTTTGCAAAAGTATCAGGCTCTTCTATATTTTCATTAAACTTCTTAGCAATTTTGTCAGGCTCTTTATCATTTGAGCTTTTAGATTTAGTTAAATTATTTTTTTTTTTATTAAACTTTTTTATTAATATTTTCTTTATTATTACTTTTATTAGAACTAATATCATCTTCTGTATTGACATCTTGATTTAGTAGTACAGTTATCACCAAGTTACATTGGGGTGTGTGATGCACTATGTAAATTAAAATTATATGTGGTATTATAAAAAAGTCTATTATGCAAGATTTTTAACTAATTATTTAAATAATTAAATTAAATGATATATATTTATATAAAATTGAATTGCACTTTTTTAGATATATGGGTTGCAGTTTTTCTTTTCTATGAAAGTTTTAAATACAAGTTGATTCTTGCATATTACAACTGTAAAGCTATAGAATCTTTTTTTTAGATTACTTAAGGATTTTTTTTTTTTCTAAATTATTTAAATTTGATTTTTACTTGGTTTATAAAATAGATTTTTTAATTAATTGGTAAGTTTTTTTTAGTAAAAATGCAAATTTTGCTCTATAGACTAGTTCTTAATACCATAATATTAGTCTTCTCAAAATTTCACTTTGGGATTATATGTCATTAAGGTTATGCATCTAAATAAGCCTAAAAAATATAGGTATATATAAATTATATAAATACTGATTTTATCTAAAAAATACTCGTCTTAAAAAACAACAAAAACAGCTTAATAAAAGGGCACTTAATAATGAAGATATATTCACCAATGAAGAGTTACCAACCAATGCCAATGAAAAGACATCTCAAAGAATGCAATTAATTTTAACTATTCAGCAATTACCTGACAAAGAACTATCTTTAGCAAGTAATCTAATTTCTATAATGTGGTATTCGAAAGAACCAAATAAAAGAAAAATAATTTCATCATACTTACAACAAAAAACATATGATTACCTTGTTTTAAGTCTTTATAAACATAAATCAGATTATCATTCATTACAAGTTTCAAATTTCAAACTTAAAAAAAACAATAAAAAGCTTTATCAAAAAAGTCAAAAACTTGTTAAATGTACTTAATCACTTGAAGCAAAAGCTCAACACTCTTATAATCAAAAAAAAAGCATATAGCTAACATTCGTTCATTAGTTTGATGTTCAAAAGAAATTACAAATGAAGAATTCTGTAAAAAGATTAAATCTGTCTTTAATCTTAATAAAAATAATTATTTATCCAATATGATTTGGCTTGCTATGAACATTTTACAAGTGGGCCAAACATCATTACACTCTATTGTAAAGTATATATAATTAGTTTATGAATTTCTAACAGATAAACTATCTAAAGATTGGCTATTAATGTCTACTGTGCATACATGGCATTAGGAAGTTTTTGAGTTACAATTTAATGAACAAATTTATTAAGTAAAAAGTGCTCTTAGGTTTGGAATAATGATCAATGAATCAACATGAGAACAAATAAAGAACTTGATACTTTGTTATCAGTTCTGAAATGAAAAGAAACAATTTCCTAATGCAATAGTTGCCTAATTACAAAACATTATAAAATGCAATGCTAAAATAGTGTCTAATGTTGTAATAAAACATATTAAAGAATATGAATTGGATGTTAATAAATGCACAGTATGGACAACAAATAATACATCATATTTGTCAGGTGATAAAAGAGGAGCTGTCATTCTATTTAACAAAAAAACAAATAGAAATTTATTGTGAATTGGTTGTGGGCTCTATATTATTCAAATAATAATAAATAACTTTAAACAAGAATTATTTGATATATATTCCAATGGTACTAGATTTTCA